ACTACACTATTTATTTTTAACTGCTTTTTTTTTTTTCCATTGTGGGCAGGGGTTGAAGGGTGGGGCGGGAATCATATAAACTATAGTATGTGTGTAGAAGTCAGAGAACAATAAGGTTGGTTGTCTTCTTCCACCATGTAGATTCTAGGGATGCACACTGGCCACCAGACTTGGCAGTGAGCTTCATTACCCACTTCTGGACCTAAGGTTTCTTTAGGATGTGATAGGAAACGCAGGGATGAAGGCTGTACAGCTTTGAAAAGGGAAAGAAACAGTGGACCCTGTGGTCATGGGGGAGATTTTGATAGTTTATGGATCCCATCAGAATGAATATGACAAAACTGATGCTTAGAGCTTGCTAGAACCATATCTTGCTGCTGCTTCATATCATCAGACTCTTTGCCTCTGGAGATCCAGATTTCTAAGACTAGATGTGTCTTAACTAGAGGAAAATGCCTACATGTTGTTTGCTGTGTTTCACTGGAAGTAATAAAATAATCAGTCTATTTTAAAGTCTATTATTATTATTAAGTCTATGTTGCCTTGGTGGTATAGTGGTGAGCATAGCTGCCTTCATAAAGTCTATTACTACTGACAGATTATTGCTGTACTTTTCATACTCTACATGAAAATTGAGTAGGATGTGATAGTGAGATAGGTTTTTTTTTTTTTGCAGATTTTTTTTATTTGAATTAGAAACAAGATTGTTTTACATGACAATCCCAGTTCTCTTCTCCCTCCTGTCCTCCCCTACCATCCCCCCCTCCCAACTAAAACCCTACCTATCGCATACCCTTTCTGCTCCTCCTGGATGGTCAGGCCTTCCATAGGGGGTCATCAGAGTTTATCGTGTCCTTTGGAATAAGGCCTAGGTCCCTATATGTGGATTGGGCTCCCAAGGTCCACACCTATGCTAGGGATAAGTACTGATTTAATACAGAAGGTCCCGTAGATTTCCGAGGTTTCCTCACTGAAACCCGTGTTCCTGGGGTCTGGATCAGTCCCATGCTGGTATCTCAGCTATCAATCTGGGAACCAAGAGCTCCCTGATGTTCAGGTCAGCTGTTTCTGTGGGTTTCACCAGCTTGGTCTGGACCCCTTTGCCTATTACTCATTCTTCTCTGCAACTGGATTCAAGTTCAGTTCAGTGATTAGTTGTGGGTGTCTGCTTCTGCTTCCACCAGCTGCTGGATGAGGGCTATCAGGTGGCATATAAATCAGTCATCAGTCTCATTATCAGGGGAGGGCATTTAAAGTAGCCTCTCCTCTGTTGCTTAGATTGTTAGCTGGGATCATCTTTGTAGATCTCCATATATTTTCCTAGTGCCTGATTTCTGTGTAAACCTAAAATGTCACCCTCTATTATGGTATCTCCATTCTTGTTATTTTCTATTCTTCCCCTGACACAACCTTTCTGCTCCCTCATGTCCTCTGCTTCCCTCCTCTTCTCCCCTTCTCATTCTCCTAGCTCCCTCCCCCCTCTTCCCGTGCTCTCAATTTGCTCAGGGGCTCTTGACCCTTTCCCTTTCTCCAGGTGACCATGTATGTCACTCTTAGGGTCCTCCTTGTTTACTAGCTTCTCTCGCAGTATAAATTGTAGGCTGGTAATCCTTTACTCTATGTCTAAAATCCGCATATGAGTGAGTACATATCATGTTTGTCTTTTTGTGATTGGGTTACCTCCCTCAGAATTTTTTTTTCTAGTTCCATCCATTTTCCTGCAAATTTCAAGATTCCATTGTTTTTTTCCGCTGAGTAGTACTCCATTGTGTAAATGTACCACATTTTCTCTATCCATTCTTCAGTTGAGGGGCATCTAGGCTACTTCCAGTTTCTGGCTATTACAAATAGTGCTACTATGAACATTGTTGAACAGATGTCCTTGTTTTCTGAATGTGCTTCTTTTGGGAATATCCCTAAGAGTGGAATTGCTGGATCTTGTGGTAGACTGATTCCCATTTTCCCGAGGATTCGTCATACTGATTTCCAAAGTGGCTGTACAAGGTGACACTCCCCCCAGCAGTGGCGAAGTGTTCTCCTTTCTCCACATCCTCTCCAGCATAAACTGTCATTGGTGTTTTTGATTTTGGCCATTCTGACAGGAGTGAGATGGTAGTGAGATAGTTTTTAAAAAGTACTATTTTATCTTTTTCAGTGTTTTGCCTGTATATATGTCTGTGCCTTGGAGGCCTGAGAGGGTGTTGGATCCCCTGGTGCTAGAGTTGCAGATGATTGTGAGCCGCCACATTGGTGGTGGAAATTGAACTCAGGTCCTCTAGAGGAGCAGCAGCCAGTGCTGTTAACCATTGAGCCCACTCTCCTGTCATGATGATGAGATTTTTTAACCATTGGTTATCAAAAATGAATATAGTTTTTAGGCTGAATTCTGCTTATTTTGCTAATATATATTTTTTTACATAATTTATTTGGTGGCTCTTTCATAGGGTGGAAAATCAGGTCAATATGGTAATGATCTTCAAATTATAGCCTAAAGCACACAAGGGAGAAGAATGCCTTTGTTCATAGCATTGCCCAAAACCAAAGCAAACAGTCCCTCTTCCGGAAGACAGTCTTTCTAATAGACATTGAGCAGGAAGTATGTTTAGCCAGGGTTTGGAAGCCTTTTCTTGAAAAATGTTTTAGATTTAACGGTAACATTTTCTAAACTCTTATTTTATGGTAACCTAGTAAAACTGACCGAAATATTATATGGACATATTGTAATCTCTCTCTTTTCCTTGGTGGCTTTGGGTTTCATTTTACAGTAGCCTTAAGCAGTTTTCATAAAACAAAAAACCAAACCAAAACAAAAAAAAAAACCCAATTACTGAGTATTACAGCTATATTTGGAGTAAAATAGTAAATGTTTTTAAGTCACTTCCATTCTGAACTGTTCATCACTTTGAAAGAACTCAGAAGGCTGTGGAGTAAGCTGTCAAATGTTACATTTTCAAAATTCTGAGTACTTCAGAAATCTGTGGTAATTCACATTTCTCATTTACCCAAATTCAGCACCCTAGGAAAGAATTAATCTGCTTTTACTTCATTGTTCAATCTGAATGAGTGTACTTAGAGGTTGATTAAATATTTTTTCTTTTGACCCAGGAAAGTATGTCCAAATCCTTAAGTAATTACATTCTTAATACAAACATCTCTCATTTTCTTACAATAGGGGACAGGCAGGGTTGCTTTCACATCCTTGTAGGTTTCGCTTGTGTGATGGTAACTCTGAATTGAGCGCTAAAAACTTCAGTCACATAACTTAACCAGTTTAGTTTAGAAACCACAATACTTCACAAGTTTATTCCATAAAACTGTTCTTTGATGGCAAGAGAATATTTGAAGTATTGAAAGAAGTCCATACTTTGGAGAATAGTGTTTAATGTAATTAAACAATTTGATTTCAAATGATACAAAGAAATCAAAATGTATTTCTGATTTCTTAGGTAAATGTTGAAAGCATTAAAAGTCAGTGCAGAACTCTCATATAAGAACACAGATGCTTTGAGGACTTGTGCCTGTCACACATAATTTATGTGTACCTAAACTTGGTGCAACTTGGTCACTCCAGTGTATTCATTGCCAGTTATCTAAAAGCATGACTTTGTCCATCTTTTTGTTCCAGTCTGCTGTTTCACTAAGTCTTTTTTTCAGTATTGTTGTTAGATTCAGACCCTCGTTCCAGGTATCAGTTCATGAATCTATGTGTACTTATGGACGGCTATGCTTAAAGGAAACTTCCATTATTTCAACCTTCAGGGCTCAGAGATGAAGTCTGATTACCTTCACCCCCAATGTTTGCCTTGATTTCAACTGCAAGTTAGAAAATAGGATATTTTGGACAGTTGTAATTTTAGTTATTATTTAACACACTTTTATCTCTAGATATTCTTGTGGGTTCTCAAATGTTCTGTCACTAAATGAAAACATGCTCTTCAATTTTTGCACCAAATTGAGAATTCTTGGATAATAAAGCAAAATGGAGAAGATTATGCAAATGGAGTGATGAGAGATTAGATTTACTAAAGAGTAAAATATAATATAAAACTTTAATATTGAAAATTGTGGCCCTGGCACATGACAAGCTGAGACCTCAGTCTATTTAGGAATTTAGCAAGGGACACTTTTAGTCAGGGGAAGTGAAGAGTGTTTAAATAATCATGTTGAGGCCATTGAGTAAATACAAGAGAAATTAGGTTGGGTTGTTTCTCATATTGAAATAATTTCTTACACTGAATTGTAAAAAATTTAAAAATGGCTGCACTAGATTTTATCCTGCATACCAAATTTAAATTTTAATATTCAGAGGTAAGACAGTTGGAATTTTGAATAAGTTCAAAGAGCATAAAAACTTTGGTTTTTCTGAAAAAATTCACTAATGCTTTTTACAGTTTGAATAATTCTTTCTTAACTGTGTATTATCCATAAATGATTTATTTCTTTCAGCAAATATTATATAGTGTTATACACTTGAAGTATGTAACTTACCTACATAATTTTGTAAAATAGAATTTTTGAAGTTATATTATTCCAGAAGTTTTGTTAGAATTTCTATCTTTAAGCTTGTTATTGTACATGCACTAGATTGTTCATAGATGACTATTGCTAGCACTCTACTATTTAAAACATTAATGTGACCTGAATATTATCAGCCTGGATATATAAACTAAAAAGTTAATGATTGAGAACAGTAAAATTCTTCTTTTGAAAACAAGTTTGCTTTATATGGCTTTGTATGGTTCTCTAATATATGCAAAGAAGCTTCACTCTGTTTCTCACCAGCTTTTCAAAGACAACTTGATTTCTTCCAAAAGAGTGAAAACTCAACTTCTGAGTCAATATTGCCTGCTAAATGTTGATATGTCACTTTTAGAGGGCCTTGCATTACATTTGCATTCTCTAAATATGGCAAAGCCTGTCACCAAACCTTTCCCCATGGAGCCTCAGAACTCAGGAGTTAGTGTTTGTAATGCCTGTGTCTTGTCTTTGCTTCTCTTTAGGGTCAGTATAGACCTTCTGATTTGCTGTGTCCTGAGACATATGTCTGGGTGCCCATTGAGCAGTGCCTGCCTTCTCTTGACATCTCCAAGTATTGTCGTTTCAACCAGGACCCACAAGCAGGTATGTCTAGAGCAGAGCCCAGCTGGACATCTTTATCCTTTTTTGTGGCTCTTTGTAGTTTTTAATAAGTTGTACATGGTGTGCAAGTAGCACATGCATGTATGTATGATAGGGAAGACAAGACAAATAGTTAAGAAATGACATGTTCTGCTGCTGCTTGCTGCCTGTGTTTTTCCTGTTGGGTTAGTTTTCATATGCTTTGAGGGCTGACATCTTTACCTTTTATTCTTTAACAGTTATCACAATATAAAAATTGTCTACTAGTTTGCTTATTTGACCAATATAAAGACAGAAATATTGAGCAATTGAATTGAGGTTGTAGACAGTGTTATGGAGATAATTTTTGTGTGAAGTTTATGTGCTGGCTCTTTCTTCTATCTCTGGTATGTCTCCTTTTCTATGCCCTCTCCCACTCCCTTCCTACAATAGCCTCGGCCATGTTTTGTTTACTATTATTCTCTGTATTAATATATCTAGACACTAAAAGAATAGCCCCAAGTTAAGACCCTGACTTAATGACAAATAGACATACTGTGTGCTTTTAGGCAATTGAGAAGTTTCCCTGCTTTCAGATTCCTTACTTACTATTAAGATAAAAGTGAGTGTCAAGTATGATGGCATATGCCCAGAACCCTAGCAATTGTAAGTTAAAGGCCTGAGAATCACCCATTCAGGGTTAGCCTCAGCTGTCTTGTAAGTTTGTGGTGAGCCTGAGCAACATGAGAATCTGCCTGAAACAAAACAAAAGATTACTATAGTAGGACCTTGCTTGATCCAAATATCGTATGTATGTACAAAAAAAATGCCATAATGAAACTATTGTGTACAATTGATATATGTTAACAAAATAAGACCTACCTTATTGAATTATAATGAGAAGAAAATCAGACCCAAATATTAAGAATTGCCCCATGTTTTGGTTTTGTTACCCAAATTAGGATGTTGCATCACATCAGATAGATGCCAGAGGCTTTTGTCGGCATTTATTTCCATTTGCTCTGCCCCTTCTCTATGAGGAAAAAGAAAAAGAAAAAGAAAAAAAAACAAAAACATTGTACATCCTATTTACCTTCCTGGAATCAGAGCGCCACTCAAAGTGTAAAACACCTTTTGGTCTACAGGGCATCAGAGTGTGGCTTTGTTAAGTTGGCACAAGTTTGATGCTCTCGGGATGGCTTACATTATGCTGCTGTGTGTGGATTCCCCAGACTGAAGTTTACCCAGTTGTGCTTACTTGCTTTGAGTCTTCACATCTACCACTGAGGTGATGCTTGATGCATGCATACTTCATTGGAATCCAGAAGGAAGGACATGCAAAGCTGGCAGAGGGGACACGAGTCAGATGAACATGAGGGGAGTGAACTCTTGTTCACTGATTTCTCAGCTCTGAGATGACCTTTTTTTTCTCACCAGTTTTTCTTTTAATTGTATGAGATTGGTTGATGTAATACATTTTGTTACCTTAAAAAAGGTGATATGAAATCATGAGTGAAAAATCCACGCTAGTAGCTTAGAATCTGAAGAGTAGCCACAAGGGCCCAGCTGTCTCATTTGCCAGGCACTCTGTCATTGCCCCAGGTTTCCTTGCCAGGAGTTAAATCCCACACCTTAAATTGTTAATCAGAATGGGATTATTTCATTCTAAGTTATACTTTACTGATCAAACAGATAATCTTGCTTTAAAACAAACATTGAATTTGTCAGTCGGCTTTTGTGTCAGGGCCATAGCCAAAGGCAATTGTATTCAAGAGAAAAGCCCGTTATTTCCCACTGTCCATACCTCAGAAAACATTCTCCTCTTTGCCTTCCTCCAGGTCAGTAGTTTATCATGGAAGCTGCTGACCATCTTGTTGAATTAATTCATATTCACTAATAGCAATTTCCTTCCAACTAAATAATAGTACCGTGATCTTAAGACCCAACTTTACTTCATCTCTATCGTAAATCTAGTTTAAAGGTGACTTGGAGATGCAAGCGACCGTTAAGTTCTCTGTGTTTTGTGAAGCTGAAAAGGTGACGAGTCATTTCCATGCATGGAATGAGCATGCAAGTAAATACTCATTCAGTTTATAGATTTGAAAATTCCTTTCCAAAACAAGTGCTAATAAGCATTTCATAGCAAAAACAGTTTAGTCTTGGATTGCTTACTGTTACCAAGAAGACACAGTATTCTGGGCAAAACACATAACATGTTATTTCCTGTATTCTACTAGGTTCTGTTCCTCAGGGCAGACACTCTGGCTGTTAACTATTCATTGTTTAGAATTCATTTACTGTCAGAGTAAATGTCTTTGAGAATAGTGCTTTCAAGCAAATGAAGATCATTTTCCATGTGTTGTGACTTTGGAACTTTGGAGAGAATATTGTGTAGTTTTATCAATATTGAATATCACAGTCCAGACACTATTTGAAATCACACTTATGTCCTGTGGTTTTAGGAAATTAAGATGCAGTTACATGCTGGAATGTGTTGAGCCTGCTGTGAAACATGGTCATTGGAGGTTTAAATGGCAAACTGTGAGAAACTCTCCTCCTCTCTGGGGCCAGTTTTATTTTTACATGACCTAAACTGTGATTCAGGGGAAAAAAAAAACACACACACACACAAAGCCTGATATGAGTAATATTGCTAGCTGGCCTGTTTCTTTCTTTCTTTTTTCTTTTTTCTTTTTTTAAATTACTAAGTCTTTTTCATCCAGATGTTCTGTGGTTCATGTGCCTACAGAAGAAGGTACCTCAGCTGATTTCATTATGCTCTGTGAAAGTGGTTTCAAGATGTATCAATGGGGGGCTGGAGAGATGGCTCAGAGGTTAAGAGCACTGACTGTTCTTCCAGAGGTCCTGAGTTCAATTCCCAGCAACCACATGGTGGCTCACAACCGTCCATTATGAGTTCTGGTATGCAGATATATATGGAAGCAGAATGTTGTATACATAATAAATAAAATCTTAAAAAAAAAGATGTATCAGTGGTCCCTTGTCAGAAAAATCTTAAGTTCTCCCCACCCTAAATTATTGTAAGACTCTGAAATACCCACCCCCAGTACCCTTGGCAGTCTCTGCTCCCCACCCCCTTCCTCCTCATCTTGGGTTTTACAATTGTTTGTTAAAGTATGTAGCCTGTGTAGCAAACCCTCTGTGTTTACTGTGTTGTGGTCCTATATGCAAGAGTTGACTGTTGAACTTCTAACAACGCTGAAGAAATTCTCTTGTTGTAAATAGGTATCTTATTTTCTGTTTAGAACATCTGCTTATTCATGTAAAATGAGTTTAGATGCTTCTCAGATAACTTTAAGGAAAATAATGTCACATTGTTTTTAAAATTAGAAATTGGCCATATATAGTCTTAAAATAATCTAGTACCACATTTACACTGTAGGGGGGGGAGAAGAAGAGGAAGAGGAACAAGGAGGAGGAGGAGGAAAACAACGATGATGACCAATATTACAGGGGGTGAGAAAAAAGAAAACAAATACTGTTCTTATACAGCAGGCACTATCTTAACATAGACAGTTTTTTTTTTTTGTTTTTGTTTTTTTTGTTTGTTTGTTTGTTTTCCTTTGATTTTTGAGACAGGGTTTTTCTGTATTGCTTTGGAGGTTGTCCTGGAACTGACTCTGTAGACCAGGCTGGCCTTGAATTCACAGAGATCTGCCTGCCTCTGCCTCCCAAGTGCTGAGATTAAAGGCGTTTGCCACTAACGCTTAGCTACATAGACAGTTGTTATACACACTTGGTTGAAACGGTCAGTAAACAGTATTTAGAGTTGATTTTTAAGCCTTGATAAACTGTGATTTGACTCACAGTGTTGAGCAAACAATTTGGTGTTACTCAAGGGTATTACAATTCTTGATACAATGTTTTCCAGAATGAAACTTTATTGAGTATTTATTATTTCTCAAGCACCATCCTGTTTTTTTTCCCATGTTACTCGTTTTATCCTCAAACAGAACATTTTATACTGACTGCCCAATGTTTGTTGCAAAAGAACCCCTAAAATTCTTTTTTGTTAAAGCATGAAATATTTTTATTCCAGTTTTGCTCTATACTTTTTAAAGTACTTTTTTATTTTTATATAATTTCTATTGCTGTTTGCATTTATAATTACAGTAATGTATACCTTTTACCGTATAACAGCCTAATGTTGGTTTGGTTTTGTGCAGACTTCAAAATGTTGGCAAGACATGTTCTAATTTGTCTCTAATGTGACCAAGACATACACTATTGCTTTTAAACTTAAATTTGCTATGAAAACAATGATACTTAATTTGGACAAAGTGTTTTGTGCATTTTCCTAGGGTAGACTGTTTCTAGAACATCTTCACTCTTAGAGTGGCTGGAAAATCTAAACTAATAGGAAGAAGCTTTGTACTTGTGTGGCCCCGTGAAGCTCCAATTTGTGTTGTTTTCTGTTATTTCAAGGGGTGGGGGCTCTTTTCTTTTTTTACTTCATTCTTTTTTCTTCTTGGCATGGTTCCCTGACATTTTTCCTAGTCTTCTGTAGTTCTCTAGCAGATGTCCATAGCAGATGTCCATAGAAAACCCAGCCTGTCTCAGATCTTGAGTGTCTGTGGAGGAGCCAGCCCAGAAAGGTTTCTGTCCTGTATTCACTGATTTGTATCTGTAGGCCTGGCTCCTTCAGAAGGGTATATGAGCCAACATGTCCTCTTAATCTCTTGAAAACAATGCCCAGCAAGAAAGCAAACTTACCAAAAACTTCCTTAAGGCTCCCAGAATCCTCTGCAGTGGTAATTCATGACAAAGGGAGGACTGTCCTAGCAGGTGCAGGGTCAAGTTGCTGTTCTTTTAGCACTTCTGAAGATAAAATTTTTTTTTTGTTGTTGTTGTTTGTTTGTTTTAAGAATAGTAACTTTCTTTAAATACAATATGTGTGTCTAGCTCACCTATCTTGTGTGTTTCAGAGATTGAATATAGGTTGTCAGTCTTGGCAACATGTACCTTTCTTTATACAATAAGCTATGTCAGTGACTCCCAGATAG